TCTTTCAATAAAAGGATAATATGCAAGAGGCTCTAGGCTAGGTACATGGTAGTAAACATTGGTAGTTCTGCTGTGTAGTCTGTCGATCCAGCTCTGGTATAACAATGCTGGCTACCCCATAAATGGCATCAGCACGAGGGCTGAAGCAGGGGAAACAGGAGGTAGTTTTGATTGAGCATTGCATGGAATCTTGTAAACAATCCACAGAGGCAGCTCTCTTTTATCAGCCTGGCTGAAGGCCGATGGTGGCTATGCATGAGAGATAAGCCAGAGTGTGTTACTGCAATTGCCACTGAGTGTTTTCCCCATAGGCAATGCACTATTATTGAGTCCCCCTCCCATTAGCAAGGAGGATGGGTATACATTTATTGAAGGCTCTAATGGAAGGCTGAGGGACTCCTACCCCCAGGCCGATGCAGAAAGACAGGCTATCACATCATGTATCGGGAGCCTGTGTGTGACAGAGCTGACCTATATTTTCCCTCTTCCTTGCTCCCAACAGCCTGGCGCTGTTTTAAGAAGCTATTTTCTCGGGAGCGCAGCAAAATAAAATTGCAGGGCGAGAGATGCTGATTTACAAAAATTTGATCTTGAATTAACTCTTCCGGTACCAAAGCCAGCAGAGCTAAAAATGCCACAATGCCTAAAGAACTTTCAAAACCTGGCCATGCATGCAGGCATTTGATCACTTCGAATGGACAGATCAGACCTCAAATGATCCTTCATCTGCTACTCCCACTATGACTTTCATGTCCGCCAATCTCTCCATTACTGCACATAAGGTGTGATGCCATCATCATCTTCTTCTCAGCAGTAAATAAAAAAATACCCAGGACATTTCCCAACCCATTAGATATCTGTTACAAAGAGGCAAGTCTCTCAATGCGATTGTTCACCATACACAGACTGGCACACAGTTGTTCATATTATGAAACTATCCTATCCTGTATGTGATCATCCTACTGGCCAGATATCAAATCTAGCTGCAGGTTAGGAAATTAGGTGACTGCATACTGGTGCGTCATGCCCAAAAGCCATGTATGACATGCATGGTCATACCCCAAGAACAGGCACCCCTTTTTTCAAAGATCTATCAATTGTAAATTTCAAATTGTCTACAAATATCCCTGCCAAAAAAAAATAAAAAAATCAATAACACTTTAAAGCGGACCTTTACCCGTATCTTTAAAATAACAACAAACACACCTTTAGAAATGTTTAGTAATAACAATCTACAAACACATAGTTCTAGATAATTGCCGGCTTTGCATATCTTATTTCTTCTTTCTTCCCCAGTCTTCTGGCTGTGGCCATGTTTACTAAGTGCAGATTACTCACTCTCCTTTTACTTCCTGGATTTCTGGCACATGTGATTAGACATGTGGCTAGGACATGTGACCAAGCACATCATTTCAGGGGTGGAAAATGCCTTTCCCTGAGATCTCATGAGATTACAGATGAGATTTCCCAGCAATGCTCTGCTGATGACAAGGCAATCCCAGTGTGCATTGCTTTGGCAAACTGAAGTCATTTTGCCCTTTCAATCCAGGAAGTGAATGCTCTGCAAGTGTAAATATTTCACAATCACAGCATTTTACACCTGACACGTCTATGTTACTATTAATCATCATACATAGAGGGATGCATTGGTAGAATTCGATTTTTGAGTGTAAAGGTCCACTTTAAGCAACGGATTGCAGAATAACTAATCTCAAGTGGAAAATATCAGTTGAAGAGATTTTCCAACATAAAAACACCCGCAACTGATCGTCACATGTTAAACATGAAGCGGGCACTGACTGTCCTGGTGGTGCAAATAAGATCCAAATGAGATCAATGGACTAGGGTAGGCACATCTCCGGCCTTCCACCTGCGGTACAAAAACAAATCTTATTGGGCTTTGCATAACTTACAGCCACAGGCATGACTCCCAGAGGCAGAGACATGATAAGATTTGTAGTTTCACCACGGCTGGAGGGCCAGCTTGCCTACCCATGGTCTAGCGCAGGGGTAGCCAAACTCCGGCCCTCTAGCTGTGGTGAAACTACAAATCCCATGATGCATCTCTCTCTGGGAGTCATGTCTGTGGCTGTGAGAATCTTGCAATGCCTCATTGGATTTGTAGTTCCACCCCAGCTGGAGGGCCGGAGTTTGGCTACCCGTGGTCTAGCGTTTGAGCTCAAATTGCCCACCCCTTCACATAAAGTTTCCCAAGTCTCTTCACAGCCTCCTGGAACTTCCATCCCACAACTGGTGAAAATAAATAATGCTTCAGATTGGAAGCCAAAGTGTTTTCTCCTACCTTATCTGTAGTCTTCCCGACCCCCTGCCCCTGGATCAGCCAACCAAAAACACAGAGCAAAGGGACCCCCTCACCTCCCACAATTCAGTGCTGCATACTAGAGCAGACAACCACCACGCTGCTATCATATTGGTGTGGGGGAAAGCTTGCTTGGCCTTGTACAACTTTCTGCTGTCAGAAGAACAAAACCCAAAAGGAAGTATGTTGGGTTCTGGTAGCAGATCAAGCAGAGGAGGAATGAGGTCAAGGTAATGGCAAGCTGTGGCTAGTTAGATTCTAACAAAGTAAAAGGTGAGAAGAACAATAAGCATGACATTATCGATTGGCTGCAGCTCTTTCACTGGCCAGTCACAGGCTGGGGTGGGTCCTTGACCAAGCTGTATTGTTTAACTGTAAGGAGGTCACAGACCTGGTTGGACTGTTTGGATCATGTGACTGAACAGAATTAAAAATCCTTTGGCAGGAACAGCAGCTCACATCAATTTAAACTGTATCTAGTTATCTGCCTGGAGTTAATCTTTCAGAACCCCCCACCCCCAAAAAAAACAAAAAAACAGCCAGGCACAAACTACCCCCGATCAGGAAGAGGTTAATACAACATTCTACTATGGACAGGCCCAGGGATGACACTTCGAGACGAATCTCCAAACCTAGGTGCCAGCTATGCTAAAGTGCCTACAAGCTCCAGTGATGTAACGTCATTCTTTCCCAGAGCACATCTGTGTGGCCGCACCATATTATTAGATGATCTCTCTATCTGGTAGATTCCTTTGTGCAAATCTCTGTTGATTCAAAACCCTCCGCTTTAGATAGCAACATAGCATTAAAACTGCATGGTCTGTGCTGCTGTGGGGCGTAGCTTGTGATCCAGAGTCGTCAGCAGAGGTTGCAATGATGCAGTTAGCACAGATGAATCATTCAATAGCAACTTACCCAAACAATTCCTATTTCCCAAAGGCCTTCAGAACACCCATCCAAAAATATACATACATTGAGATCTATATATATCTTCAATGAAGCTACCCTGGTGTTATTTTCTCATATATCTAGTGTAATGCAGTTAAAGATTTTCTAAAGTGAACTTAATTTTTTCTTTAGGGCTCGATCGAGTGCATCAGCACTGAGGGCGGCTGCTGGCGTGCACGTGCATGTGCCCGGGCAGTCCTGATGCACTCGATCGAGCCACACTGACACTATTTTTTTTTTTTTTGCTTTGCTGAACTTTATGGACAGTCATAGGTTCTATGGGCTTACCACAGTGCGATGCGGTTGTACTGTGCCACACTGAGGTACGCTTAAAAGTACTGCATGCCGTACTTTAAAGTGCACAACACCAGATCGCAGTGTTGTCAATCGTCAACACCCTTGACTTACTTATTTTGTGTTCAGGCTGTGGTGGAAAAAAAAATGGCCAACGCAGCCCTACTGTAGATGATGTGAATGAGCCCTAAAGACTCAAATGGAAAGCTAGAACTAAACCCAATCACTTAAATTTCATGTACGCTTTGATATGTAAATGTAATTTCAATATTTCTGCTCCTGTCGCTTTCATTATAGCCCAGTTAAACCTTTATTAAGCTTAATACATTCCAGGTGTACCAAAACAAAAAGCTGTGCACAGACTTAAGGTGCCCATACACCTTACGATTATCGGACGATTTTCGTATGTGATCGACTTTTCGGCCGATAACCGTACGTGTGCATTGCAGTGTCCAACCCACATAACTGTACAATCGTACGACTTTTGACGGTCAAGCATGTTTGAAAACTTTGCTAGATCGTACGGTTTTCATAAGGTTCCTGGCGTTTCCGTCCGTCAAAAGTCGTACGATCTACACTGCGCTTGCGCTAACGAAAATATGGCAAATCAATTACCGCATTTCGTCTAGGTGCTTTTCGTTACTTACGGCTAAATTAATCTTGCGATCGGGGCAGGATGGGGATGCCGTACGAAAATCGTACGACTATTCGATCATCGGGCGAAAAGTTTCGTCGCATAATCGTAAGGTGTATGGGCACCTTAACAGTTGGTTTTCTTTAGAAAGTAGCCACGACCTGAGAAGAAAAACCTGTCCCCTGCCAGCATGCTGTAGAGATGGAACCTTGCTCTGTGTGGAAGCAATGGTCTCCCTGCAGAGGTCCAACACACCCCCTGTCGTGTCAGGCTCATAACTCTGCAATCAGCAAAGCTCATGCTCCTTGTTGATATCATATTTCTAGCAGGGGCTGATTTCAAACTAAAGGTTCAATTGGGTTTTAATACCTGGTGATCCTTCTTCAGTCACTTTCTGTTAGGAGTTCCTGCATTGTCACGTGTCCCTGATCAAAACTACCAGCGGCTATGCCGGCACAAAGTGAGCAGGCATGGTCCACTGGTGAAACTATTAGGAAACCAGAGCAAAGATGTGCAGCCAACTATGTTGCATGTAGACAACACAATGTAAACACAACCCAAAGTGGCTGAGAGAGGCTGGAAAAGATAAAGCAGCATCAGCATAGGAAAGGATAAAAAAAAAAGTAAAAATAATATGAAAGATGGCAATACTTTTTCTTATAATATAGAGTGCACTAAGAAAACTATAGGTTGTCCCAATCTATTTAAGATTTATCCTTCCCATCCCAGAACACTAAATCCTCTTAGTTGCTATGGGCAGCACAGGCAGTTCAGCTGCATAGGTCTTGTCTTAAGAGAACCTACCACGGCGCTGCAGGTCATACTCTCTCTTTGTCTCTTCATTCCCCAGAATTTTCCAAGCTTGACTGATTTCAATAAACTTCTGTGCTCCCTCTGTAGTCTGCTCAATGTCCTCTGCCTTGTGTCGCTTGTCCGGGTGGTGCTGCTCTCGTGGAAAAACAAGCAAGAGAGAAGAGAGGGAATCAATAGAAAACTCAATGTAGCCAGCTTTGCACACAAGCATTAATAAACAATAACATTTATGATGTGGAGTATTGTGAACAAAGTCAAGCTCAGATGAGGATTTTCTTTTTTTTTACTGATAGTTATAGGTGGAGTCAGGAGAGTAAACATTTATTTAAATTGTATACATCATTTCCCAAAATCCTCAGCCTCATGTAATACGCTCGCTGGCTCTCAGTCTTCACATGCTTGAGGTCATATTATATACAAAGTCAGTAGCATGAAGTTTAAGATCCCGAGTAAAGTACTAAGGTTTATTCCGCTGGAGGTTACATAGTATTTATATAGCGACAACATTTTGCGCAGCGCTTTACAATATAAGGAAGACATTACAATTCAAGACAAGATGGTAAGGAGGGCCCTGCCCCTGAGGGCTTACAATCTGAAAGAGGTTTCACCATAGGCTGGCCTTAAATGTTCACACAATACAAGGACTGATCATATGATTGTCAAAATGACAGAACTTACCGATTACCATAGCCTTGTAGTAATTGCACAGCATCCCTGCATTTAGTGCACACTATTGCACAGTGTGCAGTACTACACGCTAGGTGTGCCGAGTTGCCTTTCATTTTCAATTGCACTCCAACGTACCTTCCTGTGGGTTGTGCGTTGCAGCACTATGCAGTACTGTAATAATGTGCATTGCAGTGATAAAATGTAGTGCATGCATTACTTTTCATCACTGCACGGCAATGCAAATTATTATTATAGAGCATGTTGTGCAGCGATTCAACGCAACAGTGCACTTAGCGTGCGGTACCCAGAGTTGTGTGATAGCCGTGCTAAACGCACCGCTCTCAGTACAACTGCCCTTCAAAGATTTCAGTAGGTGAACTGGGAAAAGGATACAGATAACCTCTAGGTAAGGATGCAGGTAACCTCCTTGAAGTTATTGGATAATCAAGTTTTCCGTGCCGCGGGATAACGATCAGGGAGTAAGTTGTGGAAGTTCATACATCATTTTACTTTGCCAACAGTCTGCATTTGTATCCTTTCCCTTGCCATAATCAGTAGCAATGTGGTTAGTGTCCTTGCAGCACAATTTGAAGTATAATTTCCTATCTGCCATGAACAAAACTGTTGACCAGTTGTAGACTGTGCAAGGATTTTTTCAAAAAACCTATCTGCAGAATCTTACCTGCTTGTGTTCGGCAAGGCTTTCCAGTAATTTCCTCAAACTCACTGTTGAGTGAGAGGATCTGCCTGCTCTAATCACATAATCTATTTGCAACTCTAGAACTGGTTATTACTGCATGTGTGTGTGCATAAAATATAATATATATACAGTTGTGTGAAAAAGTGTTGGCCCCCTTCCTGATTTTTCATTGGTTTGCACGTTTGTCACACTTTAACCCCTTCATGACTGAGTCCTTTTTTTTTTTCATTTTTTGCGCCCATGTTATATTCCACATTTTAGGCCTGAAAATGACTTAAAACCCCCAAACATATATTTTCTGAATGCCAAGACCCTATAGAATAAAATGGTGGTAGTTGCAAATTTTTATGTTGCGCAATATTAGCGCAACTCCTTATTAAACCCCAACATTTAGTAAAAAATTTAATTTAAAGCCCCAAAACACAACAAAATACCCATTTGTTAAATGAAATATAAAAGATGAGGTTACAACGAGTAAAACGATACCCAACATGCCCAGGTTACAAATTGTGTGCGTCCGTGAAACGGCAAAAAACTGCAGTACCCCGAAAAATCCATTTAAAAGCCCCCACAGGTCATCAATTTAGAGATACCCCAAAATACTGGACCTAGAATTATTGCTCTCACTCCGGCATGCACGGTGATACCCAACATGTGTAGCACGTTCGTCGTTTTTATACGTAGGCGCACCCGACGCGTGTTGAGGGGCAACGGAGCCCGGGAAGCACGGCGGCGGTGGCGGCGGGGGCGGGGCGGCCCCTTCTACGGGACACAGAAGCAATCTGGCGACAGGTAAGTCGCCAGAATCGCTTCTGTTGTAAAGCCGACAGTCGGCTCTACAAGTTTAAACAGACTCCCGGCGGCTGTTTAAACAGCCCCGATGCTGGCAACGTACACTGTCAGTGTCGTCAGTCAGGAAGGGGTTAATGTTTCAGTTTATCAAACAAATTTAAATATTAGTCAAAGATAACACAAGTAAACACAACATGCAGTTTTTAAAAGGAAGGTTTTTTCAAACCCAAACCCACATGGCCCTGTGTGAAAACATTTTGCCCCCCCCCCCCCTGTTAAAACATAACTTAACTCTGGTTTATCACACCTGAGATCAATTTCTCTAGCCACACCTGTTCGTAATCAAGAAATCACCTAAATAAAAAGGTGCCCATACACCTTACGATTATCGGACGAAACTTTTCGTCCGATGATCGAATAGTCGTACGATTTCCGTACGACAGCCCCATCCTGCCCCGATGATCGCAAGATTAATTTAGCCGTAGTTAACTAAAAGCACCTAGACGAAATGCGGTAATTGATTTGCCGTATTTTCATTAGCGCAAGTGCAGTGTAGATCGTACAACTTTTGACGGACGGAAACGACAGCAACCTTGCGACAATCGTACGATCTAGCAAAGTTTTCAAACATGCTTGACCGTCAAAAGTCGTACGATTGTACAGTACTGTCGGTCGGACACTGCAATGCACACGTACGGTTATCGGCCGAAAAAGTCGATCGCATACGAAAATCGTACGTATATATAGATATATATAGATATATCTATATATATATACACACACACACACACACACATACACACACACACGTAGCCCTTGTTTTGCGACACATGGGGAACGCTATACAGTACAACTGCAGGTGGCTATAAAATACAGCAGCACAGTACTGTGCAGAGTCTCTGGCAGCAAGATCGGGGCACAGGTGGAGGATTGCGCCTCAGGAAGGGGCTCAAACAACTGTGAAGACCTACAGAAGGACACTTGGGAGGTATGGTGGTGCAAACATGGAGATGTGCTGGATACACATGGAGATGTACACAGGCACAGAGAGAGCGGCTGAAGGCACAGGGGGTACACTTGGAACTACAGAAGAGCGAAGGGGTACACTTGGATATACACAGGAGCTATGGTGGAGCATAGGGTTGAACTCGGAGATACAGCAGATATATATAAGACACACACACGCACTTTAAAGTAATATTAAAGTCAAAAGGATTTTAAGTGATTTCAAATGCTGATGAAAATCTCTTTCAATGGATGCTGCTTCTTGATGTTTAAAAGTTTTAGTTTCCTGTAGAATCAGCTGGTCCTCTGAGCACTGGTCCTGACCTCCTGTTTTAGGGTCGACTCAATTCTCAAGCACAGTGCTATGCAGTCACCCCTATGTGTGCTAGTAAGCTGTGTGTGTCTCCACAAACACAGACACAGCAAATCCAGCTACTCCCCTCCCCAAGCTAGTAGATGAACAGTTGCTGGAGTCTGCTCTGTCCTTTGTGATCTTGTACTGGACAGGAAGTTCAGAGGCTGAGCTGAGAGACTTGGAAGCAGCTGTTCAGAAACATGATTCTAAGTGTTTTGGACAAAAATGGAAAGCAAAGCTTTGCTGGGCAATGTATATTTGTTTGATCTGAATTCATTATTTTAAAAAAGATTGAGAGTTTAATACTACTTTAAAGTGTATTTCCAGTTTTGCAGCCCAATTGGGATAACGCCTACTTTACGTTTGTTACATGTTCACATTTACATGGCATAATTTAAAACAATATTTAAAAATTACTTCTTACATTTTTTAAGTGATTTTTATTTTGGGGGCTTTCTATGTAATGTTAGGGAGGTGGCTGTGTGATGTTAGGTTTACTCTAATGATCACGGTCTGTACTGTGTTGGAAGATTTCATTATCAGTTGTAAACTAGATTTTAATATTGTCTGTCCTAACAAAGGGTTAAAGTCTTAGAAAAATTGTCTGTTAATGAGAGGAAGCTCGGTCTGTTCCTCAGTTTGTCCCTCTACTTTTACTTTCAAACTGCTAACTTGGAATGTGCACAAAAGGTCTTCACCAAAGAAAAAGGTAAGAAATATATACAGCATTTCAAATTTTTAGGTATGCTGTGTGAATGGGAACTCATGACATACATATAGAGGGGTTTTCCACTGCAAAAGCGGAAATACGCTTTAAGAGACGTGCCTTTCTCTCATGCAAACAAAACATTTGCATCTGTTCACAACAGGTTACAGGGGCTCACAACTTGTTGATCTGCAGGAACCTTCCATCCTCCTACATGACATTATGCCCCAGTTTTCAGACTGAGCCATTTACATCCTACTGTTATGTAAAGAGGTCTTGCAGGAGTAGATAGCCTGAAGCCATGCAGCCTTCCTTTGTGGCTGACATGGTTCATCGGCTGCTAATTAGATAGCATGTTCTGTCAACGCTCTCCAGCTCTTTTCCTCTATTAATTGATCTTCAAGCCCAAGAAATGTTACTTGCCCTGCATTCTTCTGAGCTGTGAGCTGCATGTATACAATCCTATAGATCACTCAGCAGCAAAATTTAGAATTTGGGAAGGGAACTATGGTGTATCAGTAAGTGCACATCGCATTATTAATGTGTCATTTGTCTGGCAGTAATGTTGCATGCATCTTTCACATTCCTTACAAGCTTTCTGTTCTATAATTTGATGATTTCATTTTATACCCAGACTTGCAGGCCTTCCCTCTATCTTTATAATAAAGACCACGGCCATTCTTTATTATAAAATTTCTGTTCAAAAACTGATTAGATCAGTTAGCCACCTACAGAGTTTTAAAATGTATCTATGGTCAAAAACTAACAATAAATATAGATTTCTAGATTGGATTTCCATAAGTGCTATCCCACTCCTAATAACCATATCCTTTTAGAAGTGTGTAAACTTACTTATTAAAGATGCCCATAGGCTGAACTATCTCAAGGCAGTGACACAATTTC